AGGGGCTCTGGCCCGTTTCGCTTGAGATGTCCGCACAATTGGGTTCCAAGACGTGGTCCGAGAGGCGCCATTGACGGAGTGGTGGCTTGGTTTGCCCTTGGTGCCGGGGGAAGTTGGGGACCAGTAGACAGTGACATAAGAAATGAGAAATCGTCACACACGCACACACATATAGATATGGTCGCCTCCCCCGCCAAGATCATACAGTTTCTTCTCTAGTACCGCCATCGTCCCCCCTCCCCCTCCTCCTCCTCCTCCTCCTCCTCCTCCTCCTCCTCCTGAAGTAAACCCTGTGTACTTTTGGTTTTGTTTTTTCTTTGGTTTTGCAGGCCCGAATGCTCGCGCTGGCCTCCCTCTCAGCACCCTTCCATGCGCCTCAGACCAAGCAAGCCACACACACAATGTTTCGCGCCTTCGATGAAAGGACACCCTGTGTATGTTTGTTCTGTTTTTTGTGTATGAGAAGAAAGGAAACACTGCATAGTTCTGTTTTTACTGGTTTTTGGGGTTTTGCAAGCCCCACGGGTGCGTGGAGGGAGGCCAGTGCGAGCGTCGGGGCTTGCACCCCCCCAAAAAAAACACAAAACGCACTAACGTACACAAGGCTTCCTCGATTCTCAGACTCCCCCAAACAAACAAACACAACAACCGCAAGGTTTCCTTGCACCGAGGGCCGCCACAGACCCTGTGTATTATTACTTCCCTCCTTCTCACCCTTTCCTTCCCTCCTCCTTATTGCAAAGCAAGAAAACTAATAATACACTGTGTTTGGTGCCCTTGGTGCAAGGAAACTCTGTGTATGTTTGGTTGTTCTGTTTTTTTGGTCTAGGATGCAAGGAAATACTGTGTATGTTTTGTTATGTTGTTTGTTTTTGCTTTTGGAAGCTCAAGTGCTCCCCGCGGCCTCCCCACAAAGCACCTCCTCCTTCTCCCCCTTCCTCTTTCCCCATCCTTCTCCCCTTTTTCCTCCTCCTTGTTGCAAAGCAAGAGAACCAGACATACAAAGTGTTTGGTGCCGCTGGGGCAGGGAAACGCTGTGCAATTTTGTTTTTTTCTTGTTTTTTGTGGGTCTAGGATGCAAGGGAACATTTGGCATTTTTAGATGTTGTGGTTTTTGGTCTGTTGGAGCTCGGGAAGAGAAGGAGGAGTAGGAGGTGCTGGGGGGAGGCAGCGGGGAGCATTTGACTTTCCAAAACCCCCAAAAATAAAATGACCAAGAATACATCGTGCTTACTTGCACCCGAGACCAAAAAGAACAGAAACACGACAAATGCACAGCGTTTCTTTGCATCAAGGGCGCCAAACACTGTGTATGTTTGGCTTTCTTGCTTTGCAAAAAGGAGGAGGAAAAGAAGAAGGAGGAGGGGGAAAGAGGAAGGGGGAAAAGGAGGAGGCGCTGGGGGGGAGGCCGCGGGGAGCACTTGAGCTTCCAAAGCAAAATTAAGCAACATAGTAAAACAGACACAGTGTTTCCTTGCACCCGAGACCAAGCAAAAACACAACAACCAAACATACACAGCGTTTCCTTGCTCCCAGGGCGCCAAACACTGTGTATTCTTGGTTTTCTTATTTTGCAGCAAGGGGGAGGAAATGAAAGGAGGAGTAGGAGGAGGAAAGAAGAGGGGGGAGAAGGAGGAGGTGCTGGGGGGGGAGGCCACCGGGAGCACTTGAGCTTCCCAAACAAAAAAATAGCCAAAGATACACAGCGCTTTCTTGCATCTTAGACCAAAAAACATAACAACCAAACATACACAGCGTGTCCTTGCTCCGAGGGCGCCAACTTCGAATCACCATATGAAAGTAGACGGTAAGAGAGGGATGCGGACGAACAGTGGGAAGCAGATGAGGGGGAGGATGGAAGAAGAGAAGGGGAATATTAATAAGAGGATGATGAACGTGAATACGGTTCAAGGTAACTATATAATATATATATATATAATATATATATATATATATATAATCCTCTTGGTATATTTTTACAAGCCCGGGGGGGGGGGGGAAAACCCGTCCCCGCCCCCCACAAAAAAAACCGGACTCCCGGGATCTGGGGCTTAGGGACCCTCCAGACGGGCCTCGAAGCGGCCTCCCGGGCCTCCCAGGACGTGGCGCGCTCCCGAAACCACCCCAGAGAGCCCCAATACGGTCGACGACGACCCCCAAGAAACCGTCATACCCCCAAAGATCGTCCCGAAACGTCCCAAGAGGCCTCCAAGAGCACTCCCAAGAAGGCCCTAAGAGGCAGAAATTGTTGATTTTGCTAGTTTTTGGTTTATTTGGGGGTTCTCCTCTTTTCGGCTTCCCGACGCTCCAAGACGGCGGTCTTCTGAGCGTCCGAAGCCGCCTGGGAGGCTCCAACATCGCCCCACAACCATCCAAAAGGGCTTCCAGGCAGTCCAAGAGAGCCCCAAAACGGAACAACAGGGGTCCAATATGGCCGTCAGAGAGCCCCATGGCGGCCCAAGATGGCCCCAAGACACCCTCCGAAGCATTACAAATCGTGACCCGGTCGTTCAGGGAGACCGCGGTTGGAGGCAGGGTGGCCCGAGGAAGCCCTCAGAGGCCCCCAGAACATGCTCAGGAGGCCTCCAGAAGGCCTTAAGAAAGTCTGAAACAGTTTTTGTGAGGCCCCCAGAGGCTCTCCAAGGAGGAGCCTCCGCAAAAAGAGCTGAGGAGGATTGGGAGAATGCGCAGGGCATGGCGAAAATGAGGAAAATGAAGCATGGAGGAAGGATGACGAATAACATTATTGTAGCGGCGATGCCGGAAAAGGAGTCATCGCTAAATTGTCGGCTTGACCTTCCTGCTAGTCCGCCTGCATACCAAATTTCAAGGACCAAGGTGCATGGCGCGAACCGGCACTGAAGTCTTGTGTATATATATATATATATATGTACATCTATGTACATATATACATATATATATATATATATATATATATATGTATAATGCTTCGTTACCGCTTTGCGCCATGCACCTTGGTCCTTGAGGCTTTGCTTATGTTGGTCGTTGGCGCCATCCCTAGTGGCCTTTGTAATCTGGACCCTTCCCTGCGGTGGTTTTCGGAAGTCTTGGACAGTTTGGGCGGTCCGTGGCCTTTCCCTGGACTCCAGGGGCTCCCGAATGGCGCCGGGTGGAGGGCGAAGGATAGGAGGAAGGGATCCTCGGGGAGCGAGGAGAGGAAAGCGGATGTGGGGGAGGACGACTGGTGGAGCGGCAGGGCATTTGAGGCGCTCTTGGGGCCGTCTTGGAGTGCTCTTGGACGCTCTGGGGGCCGTCTTGGGGCCATCTTGGGGCCTTCCTGGGCCATCTTGGAGCCATCTCGAGGCCTCGGAAAGCCGTCGGAAGCGAAAATCCGACAAGGCAAACTTATTTTGTTTTTCCAGGCTTTGGAACGATTGTGGCCTTTTGGGAGCCTCCTTGGAGGTCCCGGAGGCCTCTTGGAACCGTCTTGGAGCTTTCTTGGGGCTTCTTGGAGCATCTTGAGAGCCATCCTGAGGCATTTTGGGCTATCTTCAGCCACCTTGGAGGTCATCTTGGGGTCTCCGAGGCCTCTTGGAGCCGTCTTGAGCCATCTTGGACGCTCTGACCGCTCGCGGACCCCCCCGTCCAGGTCCAGATGAGGGGGTATTGGGGGGAGAGGTCAACCCTTCCCCGAAGGGGAAGAAGGGGGTTGGAAGAGGAAACTCCCTAAACCACCTACGCCCTAAAGGTCTGGTGGAATTTCACTTATTGGGGGCTCTAAAGACCCTCAGGGGGTATATTTCCAGCGCTGCCGAAGGAATCGTGCATGGTGCCCTCGAAACCAGGTGCAAATACTACCTGAAACACGTCCTGGTAGTCGTCGGAGTCCAGGTGCCAGGCATATACGGGTGCGGATTGCACGATGGCAGCCACTCTTGTTTCCACCAGTTGCGCGTCCTTGGACATCCTCAGACAACGCGCGCGCGGAGGGGAAACACGCACACAAAAACAAAAAACGAGGACATTCGTTGAATTGTAGATATATATATATACATATATATATATATATATATATATATGTGAAAACCTCTAGGGGTTGGAGCGGGGAAGAGGGGACAAAAAGGAAACATGGAAGAAATGTTGGATCATGTTGGTAATCCCAGGGTTTGTGGCGATTTATTGCGAAGGCCTTACGGCCATTGCCGCCGACCCTGGAGGGAGACGACGACGACGACGACGACGACGACGACGAATACGACGACGACGACGACGACGAATACGACGACGACGACGACGACGACGACGACGACGACGACGACGACGACGACGACGACGACGACGACGACGACGACGACGGCGGCGGCGGCGGCGGCGGCGGCGGCGGCGGTGGCGGCGGCGCCGGGGCCAGAGTCCTCAAGGATGTTTCTTGGGGTCTCTTCGGACTGTTCTCGGGGGCCTCTGGGGAGACATTCTTGGGCCTCTTGGGAGCCTCTTAAGGGCCTCTTGGGAGCCTCTTCGGGCCCTCTTCGGGCTCCCTGGGGGCCTCTTGGAGCCCCTTGGGCACCTCTTGGGGCCTCTTGGGAGCCTCTCGGGGCCGAGGGCTCGGGATCTGTGGCGAGTTATGTGTGTCTTCTTGGGCCCCTCTGGAGTAGAGCTAGCGATCCTCGGCCCCCCGCCGCCCGCGGGGGCGGGCGCGGGGAGTCCCGGGCCGGTCCCGGGCCCCCAGCCGCTGATCTTGGCGGCCGGAGGCGGTGGTTCTTCTTGTGCTACAAGCGGGCGGAGCAGCCCACCGGAGGGAAGGCCCCCCCCCCGAGGAGGAGGAGGAGGAGGAGGAGGAGGAGGAGGAGGAGGAGGAGCCGGAGGAGGCGGAGGAGGCGGAGGAGGAGGCGGAGGAGGAGGAGGAGGAGCCGGAGGAGGCGGAGGAGGCGGAGGAGGAGGCGGAGGAGGAGGAGGAGGAGAAGGGAGGGAGGAGGGAGGGAGGAGGGAGGAGGGAGAGGAGGAGGGAGGAGGAGGGAAGGGACCCCCCCTCCCCTCCTCCCTCGACCTGCTCCTTCGGCAACTTCCGCGCGGCAGGGGACGATCGTGGGGGATCGGCTCGAGGTCGTCGGGCGTTTTCGTCTGTTCTCGGCGGCTTCCCAGCCACGGGATACTCTCCAGCAGTTGCGCCTCGTTGAGGGCGTTCTGTGGCTGCCGGGGTCGTCCAGAACGGCCGCCGAGGTCCGAGTTATGCCCCGAAATCCCGGCGACGAGGACCAGTGGGCGGAATGGGCTCCGGGGGGGATGCATCGGCCCCCAATCGCCCATGCATCGCCGATAGGGGCCCACCCCCGCCCCCGAGTCGGACAGTCGACCAACGTACAACGGGTCCGAAATCAGGTCCTCCCCCTCTTCTCCCTCGACCTGCACCTTCGGCACCTTCCACGCGGCAAGTGCCGCGCTGCCGCGGCCGCCGCCGCGGCCGAAGCGGCGGCCACCGTCGAGGCCGCAGCGGCGGCCGCCGCGGCCGCATCGTTGCGGCACCTTCCGCGCGGAAGGCGCAGAAGGTGCAGCTCGACGGCTCCCCTCCCCTTCGCCGGCCCGCGCTTCGCCTCCCGCCGCCCCCCCCACTTGTTCAGCCACGCGCAGAGGGGGGGGGGGGAGGGGGGAGGGCTTCTGAGAAGCACCCCGGCCTATAGATGTAAGGCAGGCGCCTTCTAAGAAACAGCCTCCTAAGAAGCCCTCCCCCCTCCCTCCGCCCCCTTGTGCGCGCCACCAGCACTTGTCTTCAGTGCGACAAAACGGAAATCACGACGGAAGGTTTTTGGCCTCTTTCAGTTTCAAGGGGCCCGAACCGGGCTACGGGAGCGACAAGCAGCGACCCAGGGGGGAAATTGGTGCCGGTGCAGGCGTCCAGACATTTAAAGTCCACGTTGTGAACAAGTCATGACGTCGGGGGTGTGGGGTCGCTGTTCGAGGTCTCACGCATCTCCATCGGTTCTCGGCGATTCTCCAGTCTCGACGTGTTTTCCAGCAGCTGCGCCTCGCCAGGAGCGTTCCGGAGGTGCCTGGATCGTTCCGACGGGCCGCAGGCCCAGTTGATGACCCGAAAGCTAGACGATGAAGATCAGGGTCGGTGGATCTAGGCCTCCTAGGTGTGTCCGAGTAGATGGGGTCGGAGGATCGCGCCGCATCGCCGATGCTTCGACGATGCGGCTCGATGTGGAGCCCGTGCTTCCCCACGCCGACGTCGCCGATGCATCGCCGACGTCGCTGATGTATCGCCGATTCATCGCCGATGCATTGGCGATGTGGCGCGATCCTTCGACCCCCATCTACTCGGACCCCCATCTATGATGCCTCCAGTCGAGGGGGTGGCATCGGGAACGGGGGCTGCGGCATCTGCTGCATGCAGCCGGTTGCGGCCCCGCCGCCGGGCGCTGCCATCGGGACAGGGGCGCTCCTGGCGCAGGGGCGCCGGGAACAGCAGCTGCGTGAGCTGATTCAGAGACCCCCTCTGCCCCCCCCACCCGTTCGTCTGACCCAGTGACCTGGCATCGCTCGGACGTGTGCATTTTTTTCTCGGCGAGGACCTTCGAGGAGCATCCTCGGCCATCTGGCGAACAAGCCACGCACGAAACCGGAAAAAAAAACACAGGAAATGGACGTCCGAGCGATGGCCAGGTGACCTCCGAGGCAGACAGTGCCATCGACGCGTGCACTTCTGGAGAGGCCCGCGCGCAGCTCTTGTGTCGGCGCTGGACCCCCCCCTTCCTGGTCGCCTCATGTACCAGGGAGGGAGACTTCGCGCGCCGACCCAAGAAATCTGCCCAGAACTTTGTACAGTCGAGGCGCTGAAGAAGGAACCCTTTTCGTTAGGGAGGGGCTCGGTGTTCCTTGACTGTTTCACAGCTTGCCTCAGGTTTTCCTTATGTTTTCGATGGGAAATCGAAGTTTAACTTGTGGAAAAAAGGGGCCTCGTTCCTTATTTGGGGTTCCTTAGGTCAACGCCCCGACTCTACGTTTATGTCTCTGCCGTTTCTGCCGTTCGGTTGTTTTTTGCCGTTTACGCGTTGTACGTGCATGTTTCTCGCCATGCTGGAGAAGGGTGTGGGTCCTGAGTTTTTTCGGATGGATAGCTGGCCTCGGGGAGAGGCTCCCTTAGAGGTTGGCGGAGGACCGAGGTTCGAGATCCGGTGTCTTGATGTGTTGCTCTCTCTCTCTCTCTCTCTCTCTCTCTTTAGGCAACCTACTGGGAAGGCCCCCAGGGGCGGGCCGCTGGAAGGGGAAGGTCCCCCAGAAGAGGAAAGAGGGGGGGCACCGTGGAGAACATCCTGTACGCCCTCCTTCCTCCTCCCTCCTTCAGATGTTGCCTGCTTTGTCCCGAGGTGTGCTCGTGGTGCATCGGACGCACTCTTGGTTGGTTACCCTGCTTTGCTCCTGGCTCTCCCCCTCCCGCCCACCCACCTTCCCCTCTCGAGCTGCGTTTTTTTTTCGGGTTGAAAGGTTTCTTTTTTCGGGTTGGCGTGCTGCGGAGGCCCCAACCCGAAAAAAAACCAACCCGGGAACAAAAATGATGGCAAGTTTTTAATGGGTTGGGAGGTTTTTTTTTCGGGTTGAGAGGGTTTCTGTGGGTCGAGAAAAAAAACAGCTCCCCCTCTCTTTCCTTCCTCCCCAGCCCCCTGGCGCATGATTCTTTCTCAGTGTCTCCCAGGAGGGTGGAGTCTCTCCTTAGGCTTGGCCTCCGGAGTCCCGCCTCGGGGCCTGGGCACCTCGCAAAAATCGCTCCGGGAGGAGCCGGAGCTCGGCCGAACGACGGCTCCCGGGAGGGATCTCTGCACGGTGCGCGCTTCGGAGGGGCTTTTTGGGGGTTGGAGGCGGAAGAGGCGAGCGCAGCAGCAGGGGGAGCCAGAGGGAGAGGAGGAGAAGGAGGAGGAGGAGGAGGAGGAGGAGGAGGAGGAGGAGGAGGCGGAGGCGGAGGCGGAGGCGGAGGCGGAGGCGGAGGCGGAGGCGGAGGCGGAGGCGGAGGCGGAGGCGGAGGCGGAGGCGGAGGCGGAGGCGGAGGCGGAGGCGGAGGCGGAGGCGGAGGCGGAGGCGGAGGCGGAGGCGGAGGCGGAGGCGGAGGCGGAGGCGGAGGCGGAGGCGGAGGCGGAGGCGGAGGCGGAGGCGGCGGCGGCGGCGGAGGAGGAGGAGGAGGAGAGAGGCCTTTTTCGTTGCGACCTCTCGTTCGTCGGCGGCCTGCAGCACCTGCGCGGGGGGCCTGGGCCGCGACATGGCGGCTGTCTGCTGGGCGGTGCACTCCCTGCGGCCTCCCCTTGGGGGGGGGTGCTTCCTCGGCGCCGTCCCTGCTGCCGCCTGGGCCCTCCCGCTGGAGAGGGCCTTGAGGGCGATGCCGCCGCGGCCGCACCGCGTGCCGTTCTTCCCGCACCTACTTCCGCCCGCCGCCTCTCGAAGCTTTCGGAGGTCCGCCGGAAATTCTTGCGTCGGCGCTGTGTCGCCCTGGCTGCGCTTCCGGCGCCTCCCCTGGCGCGCTCCGCGCGCGTTGCTTCTTGGGGGGGGGTCAGCGACGGCCCAAGAATTCCGCCGCGCGGTGCTCCGCAAGTGGAGATGTGTGAAGTTGGTTGTCATGCATCCTCGTCCCCCGATTCCCTTGACCCAGATACAGTCGGGTTGCTGAAAAAGGAACCCTTCTCGTTGGGGATGGGACTCCGTGTTCCTTGAGTGTTTCACAGCTTGCCTCAGGTTTTCCCTCTGTTTTCGATGGGAAATCGCAGTTCAACTAATGGAAAAAAGGGGCCTCGTTCCTTATTTAGGGTTCCTTAGGTCAACGCCCCGACTGTATCCGACGACACGTGGCCACGACCTTTGCCACGGCAAGGGGCGATGGCGCGGAGGCGCTCCGGCTCCTGGAAGGGCCCGCGGCGAACTTTGGAGTCGCGCTCATCGACGTCGGGGGTGCCGTGAGAAGAGAGATCCAGTGTTACCTCGCGAAATGCAGCCCCTGGTCGGCCACGCCAAGGTGACCCTAAACGATCTCGAGCTGGACATCAGTCCTGTGAAGGCGGAGCTGTGCTTCGACACGACTATGAGAAAGCTCACTCCAGCCGCGCCCCAGTGGCCCATGAGCAGGGCCGTGACGAGGGCGTGCATCGCCGAGGGAGTGACCACCCGCCAGACGGGGCCAGTCCCCGCGGGCTTGCGCAAGGACGAGGCGGCTGCCTGGTTGGAAGTTTTCGCAAGCGGGTGGGGACTCGAATTCGTTCGCTGTTTTTTGTCATGTTTTGTTTACAGGCCCGTTTTGAATTTTGACGGCCCATTTGTCGCGGACTGATTGCAGCACGAGTTCGCGTCAAATCTCAGACTCTCGTCAGTTTCTTGTCGGCCCCGCTAGGCCAGCCCGAGTCCCCCGAACCCGAGTTCTACGTCTCCCCGATTGGAGACCCCGCGCCGCGGCGCAGATGGTCCAAAAGTTTTCGCGCGCGGTCAGCCTAAGGAATTTGCGATTTTGTCGGCTCCAGGTTGCCATGCGTCCTCGCCGTAGCTTGTCGGTCTGATCCCTGCGGTCGCACACGAAACTCGGCGGTGTGGCCGCAAAGTGCGTTTTCTGCATCCACCCTACAGGGCGGGGCGGATCCGATCCCTTCTTCGCGCGCTCGTTTCTGAGGCCGTCTCTCCGCCCGCGAGCCCACGCAGGCGGAACCACCACCGCGTGCGCAACAAGGTTTTGCGGATGGGCGCATGGCGCGCCCATGACGGGCACGTGCATCTGCACTGTATGCAGTGCTGTATACACTCTGGATTATGGTAGTTGCCTCGGTGTCGAGTTGCGTGTGCGCGCTCCCCCTTTGCCTTTTGGCTTTCCTCCTTTTTTTCTGCCGTCTTTATACCATTCGCACAGGATGAGTAGCATGCACACGTGCAGAACAGAAAGGGCGCGACTACTCTGCACCTGGTGGGCCACATCCTGCAGTGTTGGGCATCAGGGTCCCGTGGGACGGCGGATGGATGATGGCTCAAGGGATGTGTCGATGGATCGAGTTTCAGATTGGCGCGACCGCGTCGGGCTTGTCCCCATTTCCTTTTCTCCCTCATCCTTCCCCTCCGCTTTGGTCAAGCCTCCTTCTCACTCTTCTCCCCCTTTGTCTCCTGCTCCCCTCGCCCTTTTTGCCCGCTCGGCGCTGTAGCATTCGAGCGATACTCTCCAGGCCTGCGTTTCGGACAAAGATCTAGGCTCTAGGCCCTCATTGACTGCGACGGATTGGCTTTACGCATTCGAGATGCAATTCGGGCCCCTGTCGCCGAGTGGCAAATATGTGCGTTTCCCCTTCCACTCCGCCCTCCCCCCATCATCCCCCTGGCCCGGCCCGCAGGCCCTGTTCGAAGCGATCGGGGTGGCGTTGCGCTACCACGTCGGCAGCCTGGCCGCCGGGTCGCTGGCAACGCCCTCGGCCTCGCGGCGGGAGGGGGTGTTCGGAAAAGGCGGGGGCGGAGAGAGTGAAGAAAAGGGAAAGGAAGGAAAGGAGGAGGGACAAACTAGAGGAGGAGGAGGAGGAGGAGGAGGAGGAGGAGGAGGAGGAGGAGGAAAAAGAGGAAAAGGAGGTGGAGGAGGAGGAGGGGAAGAGGAGGAACAAAGGAGGGAGAGGGAGGAGGAGGAGGATGAACAGGAAGAGGAGGAGGAGGAGGAGGAGGAGGAGGAGGAGGAGGAGGAGGAGGAAGACGAGGAGAGGGGAGGAATAGGGGGTTCCGTAGCCATGTTGGCTCAATGCAATATATGTGAATTCTCCCACACGCGAGGTGGCGACCAGACGAAACATGAGCTTCCAATTCGACGGCTGCCCAGCCACGGGAACGCATCCATTTCAGGCGTGAGGGTCTTCTCTTTCACACATTCCTTTTATTGTGCGGCGGCATCGCAAGGCCGTCACTTGTAGTTCCGGTTCGAGGGGACGCGATGGAGGCAGGCTTCGGCCCGTCAGGTGGACTTGCTGCGACAAGCGCTGTGACATTGTGCGTCCCCGAGCAATTTCCCCTGGAGAGCGTCGTGCTGTGCATGTGGAAATGCCACAGGTGTTGGACCTGCTGCTGTTCAGCCTCGACCTCCTTCTGGTGTTTGGGAACGGCCTCCTCGGCTTCAGCCTCGACGAAGCGCATGCGCTGCAGGCGCCGGCTCAAGCTTGCGGTCAGCCGCCAGGCGAAGCATAATCATGACACGCTCAAGGACCAGGCGCGCTAGGCCAAGTTGACCTGGAAGCGCTCCCAGGATGCGCTTGCCAAGCAGGTGCAGAAGACTGCTGAGGTGCAGGCCAAGTACTAGGAGCTGGAGAAAACAAAAAAACAGGAGCTCGAGGCCGCCCGCGCAGCCGCCACTGCCCATTCGGTGCCGGGCAAGGCGGGCAATCCTGAGCCCTCTCAGACCCTGCCGCTCTGTTGTTTGCTCAGCTATCTGATTTGAGTGTCGACGCAAATGTGGTGGAAACCATCGCGGCGATGGCTGCGGCTCGTCAGAGAGCCAAAGCATAAGAATCACAGAAGCGTGCTGAAACTGAAGCGGAGGTGAAGGCGGATGCCGATGCATGCACGCAGGGCGCTGACAGTCGTGGCGCTGGCGTTGCTGACGGGCGCGGTGCTGCCAGCGATATCATCATGGGCGGCGCCGTCGTCTACCCCGAGAACGGCGAACGGTTCGGCGAGCGCGTGGTGAGCGAGGGCGTCGTCACACGGTCTCACTTTGAGGCCGCGCTTGATGGGGCCGCCTGCGCGCGCGAAAAGTCAAAAGTTGGGGCGACCAATGCGCTGCTCCGACTGCCGGGCCCAAGGCCTCCAGCCATTGGCAAAATATTTGCCAATGTCACTGAGCGCTCTGGGCATGACATTCCCCCCCCCCCCCCTCCGAGCTGAGGGCTTAGCGCGATTGCGCGGTCAACGAGGTCGGCCGAGGATGAAGCCGGAAGGCAAGGTTGGAGAAGCAAGTATTCAGTTGCCGTGACCACGGGCGGCGGAGGAATCTCGGCTGGCCTTCTGCCCGCTGCCCCGAAAAACTCTGGGCTGGCGCAGATAGAGCCCATTCCTACCGAGACGCAGACTGGGTCGGCGACGATGATGCATGTGGGGGGGGGGGGCGGGGGGGGGAGAGGAGGCGCCTGGGGGCGCCCTTGCTCGCGCTCTCCATTGGCGCAAGTTCATTTATCGGGCTAACACCTGCCAGCTGGGACCCGCGAAAGTTGGCTACCATGACTTTCGCAGGACTGGGGGAATGCAACATTGAGCCCGACGTGCTCTCTCGCTCAGGCAGGGCGGATGCCGTGGGCGAGATGGTCGTTCACACTGATGCTGGCACCCGCGCGCCCACGAATCGCGTCATCCATTTCTTCGCGGCGTCGCAATCCCAATCGCGAGACGCCAGCGCCCCCAGTTGGTCGACGACATTGCGATCGCTCCGCGCGCGCCGATTCAGCTCGCCCATGGGGTCCGCGATGCGATTCCCCCACTCTGGATGGCCGAGGGCCCCCGTTGTCTTCCTCGGGAGTTGCCCAGGGGGTGCCGCGTAGATGCCAGCGCTGCAAGGTGGGGGGCCGCGGCCTGGCCCTGGCCATGGAAGATGCCGCGCTGGGTGATTCCTGGGAAGTTGGCCGGGTGCTGGGTTGGATTGGCTCGAAGTGCTCCAGATGCCTCCAGAGATTCCTGATCCGGGAAGAGGTCGTGATGCGCGCGTGGGCTGCTGCCGGTCTGCTCGTCCTGCGCCCTCTTTCTTCGGGCTCCCCCGCCAGTGTTTGGCGGCCATTTGCGCGCCCCCCCCCCCCCCCCCCCCATGTTTTCACGAGGCTCCTCGGTGGCCCCCGAACCAATCAGGCTCTCGAGCGGATCGGGTACCTTCGGGGCTCGCCTGGCGCGCCCATTTCCGGGCCTGCGCGGCGTCTCCCCAGTGGCCTGGATTTGGTCAGGTCGCATGATTATGTTGTCCTCGACAATTTGGTCACAGTGGCCTGTCAGCGCGCCGACCGCTAGCGCGAGCAGGCGCCCCGGCTGAAGATTGCGCATTGGGGGGTCCGGATGGATGAAACACCTGGCGGACGCCACTCCAGTTCGCCGCGCCCCTTGCGAAGGAGACCCCCCCAGGGTTCCTGGGCGCTTCAGCGCGAGCACCGCGCGATCTGTCATCGGGCTCTCGCTGGGGATTTCGGGTCGCAAAGACAGGGGGGGGGGGGGGGGTCGGCCGTGTCTTCCGCGCTGTTGTCGGTGCAGGTGTTGCGCTGCAGCGCGGGCTTCAGCGCGCTTACTTGCGACTTTCCCGAGATGGGGTTGCGCCTTTGCAAGTGGCGCCATGCTGCGTGACCGGTTGGCGAGAAGGCTGGTCTCCCCGAGGGCCAGGTAGTCACCCGCAAGCGCAATCTCAGGGTGGATTGCAGGTCGGGGAGGTTTCTCGCGGGGTCCCCTGGGGCCCAAAAGACACATGATCCCATGGACAAGCAGAAGCGTCGAACTCATCCCCAGGAGGGGGCCGCCGCGGGGAAGACGACGGCGACCTTGGCGCGGGCTGCTCTGGACATGTCCGTTGCTCGGGCTCTGTTCAGGGAGCTACCAGTCAAGAGGTCGATCGTATTTGCTCGCGTACCGCGGGCGCCCTGGGCGCGAAGACCAGCGGCGCGAGCCTCGCTTTGTCTTGGGCCCTTGCACCGCAGCTGCATTCTGATCCGATCTGGGGGGCCGCGCAGGAGCCCATCGACGCTCGCGCTGCGGCTCTCTGGGGCCAGCTCGTTCCTCGGGGGAACAGTCCGCGGGCTCTGCCGAGCAGCCTTCTCGGAGCCCTCCTCGCAACTCCTGGGCGCGCAGGGGTCGCTCGTGCGAGGATCATAGTCTGGGGCTTCCCGATGAGCTCAGGCTGCGCCTGGGTGACATGTGTCCCAGGGCCCAGATGGGTGCTGCTGCTGTGATTCTTAGGACTGGATCAGACTGCAGGTGGCTGCCCCCCTAGTACCTCCTCACCAGGGGCCCCCAACTGGCGTCAGCGCGTTCGCTTTCGGAGCGTTACTATTGGCGCTCAATGGTTTCGGGGGTGGCAGTTCCTTCAAGTTTGCGTTGCTTCCCCGACTTGTATTACGCGGCGGAGAGCGTTGCGGGCGCCTCTTCCACAGGCGCGCCGAAGATCTCAGTCTGCTTGAGACGCTAGAAGAGGGCTCGCTGGCCCCGCTCGACCGTTGAAGCCGCATGTCGGCCAGGATGCTCTGCGCGGGCAATTTCTCGAGCGCGGGTTCATCCTGCCGAGTGGTTCGGAGACCCGCAGGCTCTCGCAGGAGATCTGTACCTCGATGGCTCTGCTTGTCTAAACTATCCTCGTCGAGGGGTGTCGGCGCGGGCCGACGTTGCCCGCGCGACGAACGGCGGCGCGGGCGCTCGCGCGATCGCAGGCCTTTTGCCGTCACCATTGCAAGAAGCTTATGGCGCGGAGTCCCGTGCGCTCCTGTTGCGCGATGATCTGTGCCCCCACTTCCGTCCACGCGGAGTTGACGTCGCGTGGAAAAGCGTTCGCGTGCGTGGCCTCGTTCAGACCGCCTGCGCGCCGGCCGCTTCGGCATGCCTGCGGAAGCAGGCGCGGCGTGATATCGGTGATCGGGGTGGCGGCCCCACTGGGGTTAAGAAAGGTGAAAGCGCGGGTCACCAATGCCATGGTAGAGGAGGGCAGGCGCATGGGACGTGACCAGCTGAGGAACGATGGCGCCGATCCAAATGCGAACGACCGTGCCCGCGAGTTGCGTTCGTCTTCCGTCTCCGCATCTCCTGAGGCCTGTCGCCATTCTGAGGAGAACGGTGAGATTGACGGGGGGGGGTTGCTAGGGCGGGTGAGTCGGTTGCTTCTTGTGGGTGCTTGCACCGCCGGTGTTCGAGTCCGTAAGCCACCCCCGAGTTCGGGCCAAGCCAGGGCCCCCTACCTTGGAGCAGCATGTCTTAGAGGCCCAGGTCTACATGCGTGCCGCAGGACCCAGGAGCCGCCAGGTGTTTTTTTTTTTTTTTTTGTAGGTCTCGAGTCGGTCTTTGCTGAAGCGCGAGCTGCGCCGCGTTCGCCACCTCGCGCTTGTCCGCATCTCACCGGCGAACATAGGTCATGGCAATGAATAAGCGCGCATGATTCAGACGCTGATTGAGAAAACGATAATTTATTAAAGCGAGAAGCGGCTTTATGGAATTGCGCTGCCGAAACAAAACAAGACAACGCATCATTTAGTAAACGCAGAAGTTGGTTTACTGATTTGAACAACGGATGTTTTTCATCCGGGGTCGTTTGTCTAAATCCCAGATCCTATCATTACCGTGGCCTGAGTGGCTCGATGATCATTGGCAGCCGAGGGCAGGTCCTAGCGATGGTCGAGGGACCCCAGGCAGATTTTTGATCGGCTCAAGCGCGGTGAATTTCAGTCGAAATGTGCGCGGCAACGAGTTGCTGGTTTCCGCGCGTTGCCCTTGCCGCCCGAAGGCCCGGGGCTCGCGGGGCCAGCGTTTGCGTCGGTGCGAGCCAATGCCTCTGCTCAGGCCTCTAGCGCCACCTGGCGCGCTGCCGCTCGCTCAGGTGCGTGACAGTGCTTCTGTTCATGTTTCTCGGGGGCCAGGCCCTGGCTGCCCGCGGTGAGTCTGTGCTGGCTCCGCCGTTCGCCCTGGTCTGGCTCTCGCGTTTGCCGCCGAACGCTGGGCCTCTCGAATGCGGCGCGTCTGCGGGGCCCGGCGCCCTGTGCGCCGGAGGTTTTGCGCAGCGCCTTGGCGCGTGAAGCGGCGAAAGTGGCCCCGATCAAATGGGGGCGCGCCGCTCGTCTCTGCGCGCCGCCGGCGGTGGACAGGCTCTGTCCGCCGCCGGGCCGCGCCCAGGAGGGGGGGGATTGCGGGGTGCCGGGGGGGGGGGGGCGGGGCGAGGGGGGCGGGGGCAGGCGGGGGCGCGGGGGCGCGGGGGCCGAGAGACAGAGGATGCCGATGAGCAGAAGGGGGAGCTCATCCAGGACGCCGTCTACTGCCGCGCGACGCGGCCAGATGAAAGAAGGAGATATTTGCAGACGGACGACGAGGACGCGCCCGCGCCAGGGCCCGTCGACGAAGGCGGCGGCGCAGCGGGGCATGGAGGAGGAGCGCGAGGACCAGGGCGAAGAGGACAGCGGCAGCGCGTTCCTGGATAATGGGCGGTGGACTTGCAAGCGGAGCCCAAGCGCTCAGTAGCGTGTTAGGCGCGCGCTGCCGCGATGCAGCTGCGTGCGCATAGGGCGCGCGGCTGCCAGGCGGGGGCAGGGGGCAGGATGCGCCCCGTCGGTTGCGCGCGCCCAGGAGGCGAGGACCGCTCTGGCGACTGCAGCTGCCCGCCGCGGCGATGACGGGGGACACCCTGGCCCTGGGGCCCGAGGAGGGAATGACATTGGCCGAGGCGGGATGCCTGTCGAGCACCAAACATGGGGGCGCGCATGGCGACATATCCCCACCTGGCAGTCCTGCCCGGAGCAGGAGCGGCGTCCAGTTACGCGCAGGTGCCTGACATATTCCGCGCGGCACAGGCGCGTGCCCGCCGCGCCGCGAGCTTTGGAAGCATTGCAAGATGCACATCGCCAGGGAGAAGCGTCTGCAGAATGGGAGCTGCTCCTCCTGTTTGATTTGGCGCTCATTCGGCTGGGCGGCAACGGCCCAGCGTGTGCCGAGTTGCTGGAAGCGCGGCCTGCTCTCTGGCTGGGCGGCCAGCGGCGGCGAGGGTGCCCGCTGGGCGACCGCGAGGCGCGCCGCGGCCTTCTTGGCCACTTGGGCGCGCGCCGCCGACGAGGCAACTCGGGCGCCGTTTCGCTCGCGGACGCGCTGGGCCCCCCCCCCTGGAACGCAGCGACTCCGGCGGAGGCGCGCGCCAAAATTGGCGCGCCAGGGCGCAGGGCCGCCCCCCGCGGCCCCGCTTGCCCAGGCGCTTGGTCGGAGACGATGGTTGCGACCGAAACATGTCTGACTGCCGCCTGGCAGCGAGTGCACCTGCGCAGTCAGGCCGTCTTTCAGCCCGCCAGCGGGCCAGGGTCTGGGGCGCATCTGCAGCGCGTGCGCTGGGCCCGCCAGCGGGCGGGGGCCTGGGGCGCATCTGCAGCGCGTGCGCTGGGAGACGTGGAGGGCCATTGGGGCGGGTTTGGGCCTCTTGCTGCCGCGACCAGAGTGAATGCTCTTGTGACAAGCTCGGGCGGCGGGCATCTGCAGCGCGTTGCAATCGCGCGGCCGCCGGGACCTGCTGCCAGGCGCCCCATTGACGAGGGCGGCTTCCTTGCGGCCACCTGCCAGCATCGGGGAGGCGTCGTCCGGCGCCGCGGCGGACTCGCCAATTCGGCGGGGGCAGCCCGGCGGCGCGGTGGGCGCGCGGCCTTCCGCTGCGCGAGCGCGCGTGCCCGCCGCGTTTGGCGCCGGCGCCGCCTGGCCGAGGGCGCAGGCCCCGGCGCAGGCCCCGCCGTTTTCGAGCGAGCCGCTCTGGATGTCCAGTCAAAGGACGCGGGCCGCGGGCAAGGCGGTGGGTGGGCGTCGCCGCGCGCCACCCCGCGGCCAGGGGTGAGTCCGTCGTTCCCGTTGC